TTTTTTATATTTGTTTTTTGTTTCCTTTATTTTTTTTGTTGGCTTACCATATAATATAGTCACACATTTTAGTATTTAAATGTTTTATTATTTAGTTAAGTTTTTATATATGCTGGAATGAAAATGTCATTACAGTTTTCTTCAGGCGACTCACAAAATTTGGTTTATCAATCATATTTATTTTGAATCTATCCCAGAATTTAATGAATTCCCTATGAACTGACTTCCCGGCCTGCTCGGACCATAATCCTAAACCATCGTTATTCAAGAATGAAATAGATTGCTTTAAATGTTTAAGGATAAAATGGATTTTGACAGTTTGAGAAATTCCAGTACTTTTCAAAGCTGTGCGGAGTTCGTTAAGATTTTTATCAAAATTACTAAGATCCGCTTGTTTTGCGGAAAACCATGTATTCACGATTTTGCTCATGGCTTTGAACGAGGCAATATATTTGGTATTGTTTTTACTGAGAGTTTCTTCCATACAAACTAGGTTCGTCATTTTTTTGTATGTGGAAGACACTGTCAGCAAAAAATAAATAATTGCAAAAAATCAACGAAATTTTCTAGTAACTTCAGACTTGCACTTTACTAATTGGCTCAAAAGCTACATTTTAAACATTTTTCTAAAAGATCTGGGCTCGAATCGTAACATCCGTTCACGGATCAAAAACGATACGAAAGAAAATTACGTGATACGTCAGGCAGTATAAGCTGAATGGGAAAAAGAGTACGTTCACGTATGTCATAATCCAAAAAATGTGTTTTTACGTAACGAGTAGTACGATATCGTATGTGACGATTCGAGCCCAGATTAGAAATTGTGATCAGATGAAAGTGTCTCCGAGCCAATAATTTTGTACGGCACGGTACTTATAAGTAATCTAGGTTTCACGAAAAAAAAAATAAATAAATACAAGGTAACATTAAAATATCAGTCATTTGTTTCGTTGCTGTGAGCTTGTTTCAAAACTTCTGGCTTTTGCTATAATTGTAAAACTCTGTGCATGTCATTTTAACGTATTTAGGTACATACTTATATTAATCATCAACTATTGCTTATGCAAAACGTGCTACATTAAAAAAAAAAATCGCATATGAAAGAGCACCAACCCAACTCGTAATAATTTAAGTATACAAATTTTAGTATTAAGTATAGAAATATTCAATTGAAATACGCCAATATTAAAATGAAGCGCTTTGCACTTAACGGATGCTTTTTCATAATTAAGTTAGTCTTCGTGCACTCAGCTACAGCCAGACATGTAAATGTGCATTCAAATGTTCAGTTTGATTCAACACCACGTGTGCGTGGTATGAAAGTATTGTTTTTAAGTACGAACATTTCAAAACGATAATCAAATAAAACATATTCATGTTTACTATGCGTTATTTCCCCCAGTAAATTCATAAAATATTTCTTAATATTACAACGCCTTTTTCTCTCAGCGTAGTCATCTTTAAGCAAAATTTGTGCAATCAAATCGAAAACCGGGACACTTAAATGAAACCCGGGACATTTTAAGGTTGGACCAGGACACCGGGACAAATAGTCTAAAACCGGGACATGTCCAGGAAAACCGGGACGTCTGGCAGCCCTACACACAAAGCGCATACTTTCATGCGATTTTCTTTATGATCGCATTTGTGTTCTGAATGTACAATAGTCATTATTTCCTGACAGAAGAGTACATAAATACCAAAATAAATCTCATACAAGCTTTGAATTTATTTACTTATTATGAGGAGTACCGTTGGCCTAAGTTAGAGCCTTTTTATTTCTTGCACAAGTGCAGTGCGACTTGCCTGCGCTACTTGCTTATAGCAACAAACTTTTAATAAAAAATTACTACCGTATTATATAGCATACAATATTTTATGCATACATACATATATTGCGATATTGAAAGTGTTTGTAATGAGAAAGTTCACGCTACAGAAAAAGATAATTGTGGTGTTTTATCTAAGTTGTATACCGGTAGCGCCCAATAAATCTCGATCAATTATTCTTTCGGTAGGAAAAAATGAAAATGTTTCACATTGATTTGATCCGTTTTAGTGAGTTAAAAAAGGGGAACAGATTTGTATGAGATTTCTTTTCGTATAAATATGCTCTAATTATCGAGAAGTACGCCTTCCTCTTTTGCAAATATATCCTATAAGAAGTATATAAAATGTGGATATCTTTAAAACAGGAGCAGCTAGGATTTCAATTTAAGCGGATTCTTAACCTTAAGATATCAACAAATACAACCCTGCTTTCAGATTTTGTCGACATTTTTATGCAACCTATCTTCGCTTCCTGCCCACCGTGCTCTGTCGCTTTGCACTTTTATTCCTTTACTTCTTTCCCTGCGGTCACTGACCTATTTCATGTACTCAGGGCTATCAGCTGGTTTTGAATATTGGCTTATTGTTGATATGTACAAGCGCGTAAGTGGGAACTTTCGGGTTTTGAGGCCCTAGTGTCACCCCTGCCTAGTGGGGACCTGTAAGATTTGAGGTTCCTATTACTCACTGGTGTCGCAGCGGTTAGCATGTATGTGTATGTGTGAACCCTTTTATCTGCTTTTATAAACGTACACTTTAAGTAAATTAAACTTTAATTTACTTTTATTTATTCTAATTTTTGGTTTTATTTCATTAAATTTCTAATTTAATGTACTTTCATTTTATTTTAATTTAATTGTATTTATTGTAAATTTATTAAATTTATTTTAATTTGACTTATTTTAATTTAATTTAACTTTAACTTAATTTTAATTATTTTAATTTAATTTAATTTTATTTTAATTTAATTTTATTTATTTTAATTTTATTTCATTTGTTTTAATTCCCTTTTGTTTATTTTAACTTAATTTTATTTTAAATATTTAACTTTAATTTAGTCTTAGTTATTTAAATTTTATTCAATTTCAATCTAATTTTAATTTTAATTATAATATTAATTTATTTTGACTTTAATTTAATCTTAATTACTTTTATTTCGAATTCATTCTAATAACCATTTTTTTTGCTTCAATTTATGCAGTTGCATTTAATTTAACCTTTTTTTCTCGGTCAAGGTGTCCACACACACACAAACAACAAAACCAAAAAAACCCAGTTACTTAATTGCGGACTCACCTCAAGTTTAGCAGGCTTTTGAAGAGGTATAGTTGAGGCGAATTGCTACGTAATCAACCCGTTCTTTCGTTAACGGTCTTCACACTTGCACAACGGCTTTGTAAAAAAAAATCTAGAAAAATTCACCTTATTTCCTTTACTTCGAACTTAATATTCCGCGGACGCTCCCACTGACTTCTAAGTCACTAACAGATCTGATTTCTGCCGTCAATTCCTTTGGCGATCGTGCCCCCGAGGTACTCGTAAAGTGCAAGAATTTCTTCTGCTACAACTTTCACTCAACACTCACACAAGAACATACACTCGCGCGCTTTTACATCTCGGACATTTACGCACACATACAAAGCCATCCCTAAACACAAGTAACTAACTTCAAGCAAGTCCCATTGCAACATTTTAACAGAGGCTGTTTGATGCAGTATGAAGGAGTTTGACGCTGTCTGTTAATATGGCAGGCTGATCGTTACACTTTCAATAATAAAATTTAAAATTTACTACCCGATCTAATATTTTGCACTTATTTTTCTAGAAACCGAGATGTATGTATTTTCTTTTATATTTTGAATTATCTGAAGTTTGCACAAAAAATATTAAGGGTATTCTCTGAGTCTAGTAAAGCCCTTACACGGTGCATGTATTGCCCGGTTTGCAAAGCTGTCCCATACGAAAACCGGTTTTTACCATGCAATCCGTGATAATCAGATAATACCCCTATTGTATCGTTTAGATTGCCTTCGGCAGGGTAGTAGCGTGTTGTCTTTTGGAAGAAATTTCCGTTGTTTTTTGTCAAATTTCGTTTAAAACCATTCCGTTATATTTTTGCAATAACACAGATTCACGAACAATTTTCCCAGGCATGGTAATGGGACCATGTTTCTTTTCTTTTTTTTTGGAATCGCTGAAAAACATTTTTTGGCCACTCATGCGGTACATATCAGATTTTTTGGCAATGCCTGACGCTAATCAACTGTTAGTTGCAGAATACTTAAGTTCAGTTAAAAAAAATTATTCAAATATATCGCCAATGCGTTTTTAAGATCTGCATCTACTTAATTTTTTTAGGTTATTTGAAAAATTTCGAACGTTGCCCGGCCCTGTTTCAATGACACTGAATAACATAAAAGTTGTGGTTTCATGCCCAAATTTTGCTTGCAGTCAGAAAATATCGTTTGAAATACGCACTAGCAAATAAAATCGAGTTGTATTTACTATAAAAATATAGTAGCATTATTTGTAATCATATCACAACAGACATTCAATAAAAATTATAAAAAAGTGAAATTAAATTTTTAAAGCTTTGAAAAATAAATGTGGATTCCTTTGAACTTGAAAACGTGTCGTAAAACTCGAATGAATGTGAAATAAATTTATTTTATAAAGTCCATATGAAAACGAATTTATTGGTCATGTGGGAAGAGTATTTTTTGATGTCCAATTTTTCTTTTTTCTTTGCAATTTAATGTCATGTGGAAATCAAGTATATGTTACCATTTAAATTTTTTTGTATAGTGTTTTGTTATTTAGAATTTAAAAGCCGTTTCCAAAGTAAATAGAGAGGCAACGCACATTCCGCAGTTTGCTGTCGATTTTTGGTACGAAAATCTTAAGCTAACTGCTAAATGTAAGTAAACTCTCCACTGTAAGGGCGGTCATAGTAAAATTTTTAATTCAATTTTCATCCCAAAAGCTTTCGAGTTTCTTCTTTATATTTTTATTAATTTTTGTAATTATTTATTTATTTTTATAATTATTTATTTATTTTTATACATATATTTTTTTGTTTATATAATGACTCAGATTTTTATTTCAAACATTTTCTATCAAATACTAATTGACATTAACTCTCTTTCTTCTTACGCTCTTAACACCCACAGGTCCGAAGCCCGGTCCACCGCGCAATCTAACCGTCACCGAAGTTTCAAATGGTTTTCTCATATCGTGGCAGGCGCCATTGGAACGCGCTCATATCGTCAAATTCTACACCATCAAATACCGTACCGATGCCCAATGGAAGACATTGAATCGTGGCCAAATACGGCCCGAAGAGACCCAATATTTAGTTAAGAATTTAGTCGGCGGTCGTACATATTATTTTCGCGTCTTAGCTAATTCAGAAAAATCCTACGAGTCCAGTGATGAAGTGAAATTTCCGGTGCCGGCACGTGTCAAGCATAAAGCGATAACAGCCGGTGTCGTTGGGGGCATCCTGTTTTTTATTGTTGCGATCATTTTATCGGTTTGTGCCGTAAAAATTTGCAATAAACGTAAACGACGAAAACAGGAAAAAGGTAAAAAACTGCAACTACCAATGAAGCAAGTGTAAAGCGAATACACAAAATTATAAATAAAAGAATAATTCGAAATGGTTTTTGATGTTGGTCCGAAATATGGAATGCGCGGAAGTGTCTTTTTGCCACGCACCAATGCATATTTGAGGCTGCGTGCGAGATTAACCATATATGTACATATGTACATATGTACATATATAGATACATGTATATATGTATGTATTTGTGTGTAAAAAGAAGAAGCCAAAGTGGGTTGAGCGCAAAATATGGACATTGCAGCGTTGGCAATGGCAGCTGTGACAGCGAATCAACACAAAGAGAAAATAGCAGGAAACCAAAAAAATATAGATTTATAAAATAAGTGGCATCCACATTGCCGCCGCTGCCGCTGCTGTGCTGTGCATTTTCCTAGCGCTCCACCCACGCTTCAATTGGGCGCACGCCGCGCGTTCCTGTCGTGGTCACACTTTTTTTTAGCGAGTACTTTATATACCTACTATATATACGTAATATAAATGTTTTTTGTGAGATGAAATTAAATTTAAATTTTGATTGCGTATTAATTTTCAAACGTCCCACTAATTTGAATGTACCAAATTAACTTTTTGCGTAAAATTGCTAATTAATCTGTCCTTTTATTGCTTAATTAAATTTTAAAGCAAATGTTTTTATGATTTCAAAAAGCAAATTAATCCGTTTACAAATAGAAATGATGATAATCACTTTTATTGTGTGAATATGAATTTTTCGTTTGTAAAGTACTAATAATTTAATTTAGCATAAAATAACTTTTCTTCTGTTCTCGATTGATATTAGCGTAAATAGCTTACTTTTTTATATTTAACTACTAATAAATTATGAAGTTGTCTTTAGTGCATCAACAACAACAACTAACCATGAATAATTCACGAAATCTGCGTGCAACCTGAAATACTAATAAGTGACTGATTTCGGCTTTTGTGTAGAATAAATATGTATAATAAATAAATTTAATTTTATTTGAAGCAACAATTGGCTAACCAAAAAAGTAAATAAAATCAAACTAATAATTAATGAGTACAAAGTTTTAATTAATTTTTATTATTTAACGTTTAGTTTTTTGTGATGATTTTTTTTTTTATTATTTTTCTACGTTTGATATACTAGTATGTACATACTTATACACATTTTTGTGTGCATATTTATTGTTTTTTTAAGTAACTTATTTTTATATATGTTTGCGCTTTTATTTCTTTGCTTAAATTTAATTTCATTTTATACTCTTCTTTGAATTTTGTTTAATTAAAGTAAGTCTTAATTCTCAAATACTTTCAAATACAATAACTTGTATGAGTTTAGATGTTGTAGTTAGACCCAACCGAAAATAGAAATAATTAGTAGCTTGATGAGCACACTACGCTACTATCGAGGTTAGAGAAGAAAAAGCTTGCCAGCTAATACCAAGCAAGGTTTGTTTTGAGGATGATACCTGCATAGGCTCTTGCGTTATGCAACTACCTGTTAGTTTGTTGTGAAAGCGATAACTCAAATGGAGGTTAAGTTAAGGCTATCCGGCTAAGTAGATACATAGATGTTTATTATTTTACCATGTTTTTGTTTTTGTTATCATCTTCAGGAAAACTTGTTTTACCAACTACTAATGTCAAAAGAATTATATTAACTACATAAATATGTATGTAGTTTAGAAATATTATGAAAAACCATAGCTGCAAATGGTTTGGAACCCAACCGAACCCTACTACAAAAAATGGTTCGGTTCGGATCAGGATGAAAATCCACGCATAGGTATGCGCGATGTTGGCCGATGCATCGGAAACATCGAATAAGCTCCGCTGATCAATTAATGCGATATTATTCGATGCATCGATATATTTTGTTCGATGTATCGAAAACCAGAACTTGCAAGAGACATACCAGAGCACAAGTTTGGCGAGTCCGATTCTAATACTTCTGACCACATAATAGACGACTTTCGTCCATGAATTGGTCACCATATGCTAGTTCATCGAAATTGGGAAAAAAAAGTGGAACTGAAGAAAGCCTTTCTGATGAGCTATCTATTTATATGCAAAGGCTGGTAAGTCGGTTTAATGAAAACCCTCTAGAAATATGGGCCGATTACAAAATGCAGTTTCCAAATTATACAATATAGCGTAAAAGTTCTTGACAATGGTAGCCAGTTTCGTACCTTCTGGAAGGCTTTTCTCAAAGACTCCGTTTGTTTTGATGCAGCTTCGGAGTAAACAATAGGCTAAACGAGTTAACAAAATTTTATTTTTACAAAGCTTAGGCTGCGTTTCACCAAACTCATTTATTTAAGTGGAAATTAACTTTAATTTAATTCTCAATTAAATTTTCTTTAGTTTTAATAAGCTCCTTATTTAAGTGAGTGAAAATATGGCAGCACCGTGCTAAAAATGGTGGTGGGAGCAGGGATGGTATACAAGTAAACAGCTGATGTACAATATTGTGGTGTGTGTACTAGAGCTCTCGATTTTGTTCGCACATTTTCAAACAGCCCGGGTATATGAGCAACGAGTACTCGCACACTTGTTCAATTCTCAATACTCGAAAGTTTTCGAGCATGAGCTTGAGCAATTCGAGTTTTCTCGAGTAATTTGAGCAATGCTTTTTTTTACATATTTTACAAATTATTTATATAGTACAGTACCAAGGTCGTAACATGCATTTAGGTACATATGTATACATATTAAACTAATATTTTAATAAAGGGTCCTGGCTAAATCAGCCATTGGCAAAATAACCACTTCAAGTGCCATATCGTTCTTTGGCGGTACAAGTGGCCACAAAGTAAATCGATTTTCTGATTTCTCCTTGTTCTAATGACAAGTAGTGGTAGTTCACATTCTTTATGCGTATAATACATTTTCGTGTAAGTGGCTTTTGGACGCGCTTCAAAAAAGTAACCGTGGGTCCAGCATATAATTGCAGTGGTCAAATTGTCAATGGGCGATTTGGCCAGGACCCTTATGCCAGCACGCCACTTATTGCTACTTACATCATATCTGCAAGTGCCGCTGAAGAACCGTGGCGTTGCCGCCAGTACAATTAATAAAATTGTTGCTTATGTACATATATTGCATTGTGCCAGAGCACAATCTCGAAAGGGATAGCGCCACACCCAACTTTTATGATGACACATTTGTATTTAATATTAATTATTTATTTGGTATTGGTTTGGAAAGCAGCTGCTGACAAATAAAATTGACAATTTTTATTTTGTTGATCAAAATGCTCAAAAGCTCGAAAAGTTTGAACAAATATTTGAGCAGTTGAGCGAGTATCGAGCTTCTCGCATTGGTTTCTAGAGCTCTAGTGTGTATATTGATCAGCTGATTAAACTTGTAACATCTCTGAGTGTGGTTACTCTGATTTAATTTTTATTTGAGTGAAGAGCATAGGTCACTTCAATAGAAATTAAAAACAAATTAAAATTAATTGGTGAAACCAAAAATTCATTTAAATGATTTAAGTGAAAAAACTCTAAAATTCTAAGAGAGAAAGATAAACTATGGGATGAACAGGCTAACCTAATATTCACGCACACCGCCAGGTTACTGTCAAAAATTTCTCATGCACATACAACTTGTATGGGACCAACCGAAATTGAACGGCGTGCGTATGAGGCTAACTCAATTTCCAATTTTTGTTCTGCGTGACATTTTGATTTGACGTTTCGCTCAATTAAATCAAATGCAAACGCACGCAAGCCAATTTCGGCAGACGCAAAAAAACTAATTCGAAGGCGTGCGTACCAAAACGCAAGCTGCGAATATTTGTTTAGCCTGGAATTTTATATTGAGCTCAACGAAAGTGCTAAGTGCCAAAAATGTATGTACATATGAGGCCATCAGAGCAGAAGTGGCCTAACCAAAAATTGTTGATTTGTGCTTCCCTACTTAAAATAGTCTCAAATGAGATAAATTTTAAAAAAGGTAGTTTATTCTTTAAACCTTGTCAGGCGCAATATGGTGACTGCCAATTTCGGCACACCTTTAAAACACATAATAAACACAATATTATAATGTTATACATCTGGCAAATACTGGCAGGACATTTAGGGATGTGAAAAAGAAATAGGTGTAAACATTTTCTTAAAAAATAATTTATTTAGCGCTACTACAAAAATCTTAAAATAAAGTTAAAAGTCAAAAGGTAAAACATGCAATGTAAAATAGTTGAAAAAAATTCAAATATTCGATAAAACTTCAACTCTAGGACATGTAAACAATAGCATCTTTTAGTTAAATAACAAAATTAAAAAAAGTAATTCTAAAAATACTTACTTTATTAAGTGTGGCGCATTGGGTGCAATGAGCTTCTCAGATCGAATACTACATAAGTTCTCGTTGTGAGCGTTAAACAAAAACTGAGTGGTGTTGCTGTATAGAGCACTTCAAAAGAGGTAGCTACTGAGCGCCAGCAAAGTTAACGGTATAAAATAGCACGGCGAGATATAAAAATATGCAGGCTGTGCGTCACAGATCAGTTGCGCCCGACGAAAGGTTAATTTTAAGATTCAGAGCTACATAACGTATCATCAAAGTAAGTAATAATCGACCTTTACTTTAAGGTGTATTACATTTGAAACTATTTTAAGAAGTTCAGTACAAGAAAAAAAAAATTGTCGGTTGGGCCACTTCTGCTCTCATGGCCTCATATATTCTACAACTTAACTTTGTTATTCTAAATACTGTGCAATCGCAACTCTATCTCTATCGCGTTGGTGTGCATGCCCAATTATCTCTATCGCTTTCACTATCGCAATCGCGTTGGTGTGCGCTTAGCTTAAACCAAAATTAGTATGGGACCACCTGTGAGGTAACACCTTTTCTTTAAAAACAAGAGTTATCGAAATCGGTTAACGTGGTCCAAGGTTATGCGGTAACATATTAAAAAAAAATATATAAAATATAAAAAAATAAATATATTCCGACGAATTGATATTGCAATATTCAATTTATCTTATCAATTAAACT